GTGTATTGATTGAGTCTGTTTCCCTCATAAGAGAAGTAAGAGTGGGAGGAGCCACTAGAAGCCACAAATGAAATGTTTTTCAAGTTCTGATCTGTTTAAGTAAATTCTGTTCTGGGGTAAGAGACGATTGATTACTCGCAAATAGATTCCTGATAAAGTAACTTTCAATCACAGATCATCTTTGGTCCAAAGGAAATCAAACAGCAGGTGATGAGTCCAAACTGAATCTTAATCTGTTTACTGTTGAAAATATACAGAGGTCTCAGTGAATATGACATTATTCAGCTTCTATATTCTTCAGAATTGTACGACACCTGTGTTTTTCTGTACGGTTAGACTTTTGACCCAAAGTGAAATCTTACCCAGTGGCTCAGTGATGATGTGCCCGCAGAAAGAATAACACCATTTCTCTGCTCATCAAATATTAAAGAGCTTGAATGAGTGTCACTGAGCCTGCTATAATTTAGGTTTATAAAAAAAGGATCTTTTCAAAGTGAGGCATGAATGTTTTAGTAAAGCCTGTGTGCATCTCCAGGAAGCTGCAAAGATTGTTTTGAAAAGACTGAATCATCTCTCTCTTGTTTTAGATGTGCACCAGTAAAATGGTACGGTTGAAATTAAGATTTCAAAAACCACAGACTGTAAAGCAGCAATTTTTAAACTCTGATTCATTTTTTGCAGCCAAAATTTTACTCTAATCTGACTAAGACTTGCGAATAAAAAATAACAAGCTATTATATGCAAATGTGGATTAAACAGCAGGTCCAGGAACTTTCTTCAACAAATCAATTACGTTGTAGGACAACTTCAATTTTATATTTGGAAAATAAGAAGCAGACAATGGTGTGGTGGGTTGTTGGCGCAGTCATTTGCTCTACAGAGTGCCACTGTGTTATTTTGTTTTCAGAGCACTGAATGAGTGAAAACGTTGTGCAAATACAAAGCTTTCTTCGACAGAAGGTGGAAATCTAATGGCAGGTGGGACCAAGAACACAGAGATAAAAAGATATACACATGCATCATCCAAATATAATATGAGGGACATTTGAGGGAAAATATCTTTGTGAATTTACCAAACTTCAGACTCCATTGGACGTGACACTGAAGTAAATAAGTGCAAAAATCAAAAAATACAAATATATAATGAGAAGTTAAACAGAAACCAAATATAATCTCATCTCACAAAGTTATGTAGAGTTTAATGTCAATGGGACAAATCGTTGCCTGTGGTCGTGGTTGTCTCTGTCCATGGTGCTGATACCTCTATACTTTGTACTGCCTTGTACTATATGTCCCACTGTTTTGAAAAACAATGATTTTTTACTACAGTCCTGCAGAGACTGTTTGTTGTCCTCACTTAGATAATTACATCATGTCTCTTTGTAAAAAACAATCACTGTGTAAGATCTATGGACTTGGATCTCCATTCACAGGAATCTACTCTCCCTGGATTCTGGGAAAACATCCATCCTGTTTGATTTATCTTCCCGCTGCCCGTCGCCGGCTACGCCATTTAATCAACAGACATTATGCACTGGTTTGGTGTTTCCTGTCTCATTCTTCTCTTAAGCGGCAACCAAGGCCCGTCTGGGGAAAACGCTTTCAGATGGCACCGTCCTCTGCTGCAGCTCCAGCTTCCCTTTGCCTCTTGTCTGATAAATGACCAAAACAAACATGGCAAAGTGGCGCTGGCTGTCCCACAAAGTGAAAAAATACTCTAGCTAGCAGGTCGTGAAGCTGGTGTGTGAGCGCACACAGAACCCGAGGTTAAACGCTGCAGAGATTCACCTGCAGGTTTCATTTGGTTTATTGAACAGTTACACAACAACATTATTGTCTCGTGTTGATCACATAGGGAGCGAAACTACAGATTTCTTTAATGACGTACCTAGTTCCTGTCGTCATCACCTACGTGGGCTACCTGTACTTGACATTGATTGGTTTGGAGATGGGCATTTGTCTGATGTTGGCATGTTGTCAACTCGGCTAATGTATTCACTAACTTTTTTGAATAAAGTGCATGGGGGAAAAAAAGCAGTCTCTTCGTTTGAATGGAGAAACTAAATGAACCGGTTCACAGGGGAGACTCATTTTTCAAGATTCATCTCAGGGTTCGATTTGGTTGATGGAGCCGATACTCATGAATAAATGCTCCTCATTACTATAGCGACAATAACCATTATAGTCGTGTGTTTGTCATGCAACTGACTGCTCCTATAACATCCCACCCACCCTTATTGACCCACCATATGCCTCATCTGCTACTACAGTGCCCTGTCACTCAGTCGTTATTAATTTCCCCAGAGCAGTCAGCGTCAGCCTCTGCATATGAATGCTTGTAATGCAGCCAGGTGACGAAAACCTTCTCGTATCTGAAAAGACACATAAATATATATCGACTGGTTTTGTCTCATTGAGAGCTGCACAGGCAAAGATTAAATCAGGGATTTGCACATTGCATCATCTGACTGTACTATCACTTGAAATGATGCTAAAATGGGTGCTGGGTTAAAAGCCAATGATCAAAGCGATAAGTAAATCAGGAGGGAGCTATAAAAAGAAAAGAGACCTGTGACGCTGAAATCTAAATCCTCCTCCTCGTAGCTTGACACGCTAAAAGTGTGAATGTCATTAAACGAGTCACCCGCCCCCTCTCCTCCCCTTCGTCACGCAAATGGCCCCTCTTTTCATACGGCGGGTTCATGCATGCAAATCTCACATCAAAATCTCAATGATCTCGAAAGGCTAAGCAGTTGAGCTCCTCACGGCCGATTAGAAAGACACACACACACTCACAGGCTGCAAGAAACGCTTTTCCAAATGTTTGCTCAGGATGATTGTGCACTGGTTAATATTAATGAGTAAAGGTTAAAATAATCAGCCATCCATATGAGGCGACAGCTGAGAAGATGCTCAGGTGAACTCAGGGGACGACGGTGTGTCGGCTGGTGGTGGGGATGCACATGCTGCCTCTCCGGGTTGTTTCACAGGAGATCAAATAAAATGTCTGACACTTTCCACTTCTGTTAACATGTTTTTTGAAGCCTCCCTCTTTAAAAGTCCATCATCACACCCTCCTCTTCCTCTGTCCCTCTCCCACAGGGGCTAAAAGTGCTCCCCACGATTTACACCCTCCAAAACACATCGACGACATACATCAGGTGAGCTCTGTGCAGAGCCCGAGCTGCCAGAGGTCTGCTATCACTCTGAGACTTCCCTGAACCTTCCTGTTTTTCAGGCAAGCGGCCGACCTCTCGCTGCTTGATGCACGGCTAACGGAGCGAGATGCATTACGCAGACGGAACTTGGTGGAATTACATTTCTTTTTATGCCGCTCCCTCCCCTGCGAAAGTGATGTTATTGCACCTTATCGCACATCTCCACTGTCTCTCAGCTCGACGGCACAAAACACAGGAGCCATGTCCCCACATTAAAGAGAGTTAATACTCTTCAATAATAAATATACTATTTATATTGCGCTATTCCAGTCTTACCGGCTTGACAGTTAAATTCACATTCACCCATTTGTGCACACACCTCTATACCCAGCACTTTTCTTTATCACAAACTATTAATTTACTCTTTGGAGTTTAGTATTTTGCCAAAGGACTGGAGGAGCAGGGAATCAAACCACCAACCTTCTGGTTAGTGGATGCCTCTTGATTCATGCCGCACCAATTAGTACACGACCAGCATATGCTGCTGTGTCTTGAGAGCTGTGAGTCATCTCATTAGCTGTTAATCCAGAAAGGAGAGGGTTGAGTTAAAGGCCACGTTAAAATAAAGTGTCCTCATGAGTGGCAATTTATTTTTTGATGACAAACACGGGGACAGTATCGAAAATGCCTCCAACCAGCATGTGAGGCTGTTTGAATAAAGGACAGATGGCTGCATTGTTTTGTTTTTTTGTTGAAGAGTATCTAAGAATAAATGATAAATAATGATGATAAAAATAAAAATGAAAATAAGTTTCATACAGGATACATTTTCACTGAGAAAAGTCACAAAAAGTTAAATCGCTGAGCGCACATAAGTTTGTGGTATGTTTGGGACCTCAATACTTAGTTTCCTGCATCGGCTGCATCCTCCGACAGCCGCGTAAACCTTGTGGGCCGAAATGAGACGGCATGACCCGCATTTACAGCTGCATAACATTTTCAACCATCTATCACCGACATCAGAGGGAGAACTAAATGCAACAAAAGCTTTGGAAGCGGGAATAAAGTAAAATGTAAAAGAATCTTCCTCTCTGTCATTGATGAGACAAATATCCACAAAGTCTGAAAAGACAGCGTCAGAAAATTCAGCGCAGACATCGCATGTCAGAGGTCAGCGTCAGAGCTGCAAGGCCACGTGTATCGCTCCCATCAAACACTGTCTTGCACAGACAGGAAGACGAACATTACTGCTGTAACCATTAAGTATTAATCCAGTGTGCTCTGCTGCAATTTGAAAATCCAATTCACTTTGTGCAGTAGGACGGGAGAGCCGAGAGAAAGCTCTGCCTTGAACCCATCAGTGGAGCTTTGAGACGACCGTAACCCCTGGTGTGAGGAATTGTTCGCCACGAGCAATTACAGTCCTGTGTGCCACCACATTTCTGTTCAAACTCTCATATATTTTTAATGCATCTGGGCTTTTCCACATCGATGCAATGAAGTTACTGTTCGTGTTTCAAATGCACCAAAGGGGAGCTTCAAATCTTCAAATCTTGAAAATGGAATACAAATTGGTGGAATTTAAAAGCTGCTGCAGAGTCTTGTGGGAAAGATCTGAGTGCATCAAGTGAATCTTCAAGGCGTGAGACAGACGTTAGATTACGCATAGAGAAATATCTTGAATTATTTTGTACTTTCCATAGCGAACAAAAGTGTATTCTGACGCCTGGAGGGAAATGCACAGAAGAAGAAATCCTTTTATCAGAAGAAGATAAATTACAATATTACAAATTTGAGTTGAGTCATTTGAGTTCATGACAACATGGAGAACGATTGATTCTCTATCTTCTGTTGTAGGACTCGAACTCTGCATCACTGTTCAAAGGAGCAATATCGAGACACATTTCTCTCTTTCTTATGAGGTTTTCTTATCCTCTCAGTTCATTGAACCAAACATATTCTGCTCTTTGTCGTGTTGTTCCTCTCCATCATGCTGCTCTTGAGCACAGTGGATGTTTTCCCAGGGTGATACATGATGTTAGAATTACACACAGAGCAGACGCATGGATCTTCTTTTTTTTTTTTAAGGTCTACCTGCACTGATGTTGCTAAGAGACTGTTGAGTTTTTACCCGATCCTCCCACATTTCTAAAATACCTTTTTTATTTTCCTCTTCACAGCAAATGTTCAAGGACTTTTAAGTGCTTATTTATTCACTTAGGCAGATCCGGTTGTAAATGGGCTGTTTTTTTAGTCTGTGGTGATGCAAGCTGCAGCTTTTCAGTCCTGAAACTGTGAAAGTGACCCTGCACAAAGAGCTGTTTATCCAAAGTTCAGTAACCAAATTCAACACTGCACTTCTCTGGGCCTTTAACAATACATATGCCAAGCTGCCTCCCCTCGCTCCATGGCAGGACCCCATGTCTGCTCTGCCCTTGAAGTGAATGATACTAAAACCAAATCGGTTCCACTGGCGAAGAATTCTCCATCTTGCGTGCGCCGAGAACAGAACTCCTGTTGCATCTGGTCCCGATTGGCCGAGCAGGGTCCCAGTTGCCAGGCAACCATCCAGCGGTGTAAGGGGCCTATAGCTGACAGACAGCTGCTAATGAAGCCCGGGTGGCGGGTAGAGGGAGTGCGCTACACAGAAAGGGGCTATCCGACCTCTTTTCTCATGCCTCACACGTCCTGTGGTCCTGTAACACCAAGGTAGGGGTGTGTATCTACACCCGTGCACACACCAGCACTCACTCAGCTGATTTGCTTCCTCACTGTGTGTTTGTGTGTGTGTGTGTGCCTGTGGAGCATCCTCCCACAGGGGCCAGAGTCAGTTGCTTGAATGCAATATCGTCTGAGACATCCCCCACCTCTTAAACCATCACCATCCCCCTCATCACCCAATGAGTAATATTTACACAGTGGTAGGAAAGACGTCCATAAGCTCTATACATGCTCACAAGGTTTCAAAGAGAGAAGCCAACATCTCTCTTTTAGAGGTTTTGAAAAATGGAGGATTCAGAGGCGTAAGGACACAGATGGCAGCCACGCTGAGCAAAGTGTTGATTGTCGTGCACGAGCAGGTCACACATACAGATCCTGCACAGTGAGCGTCCTGCTCTGTCTGCTTGGACTCACAGAAGATTCGATGGGAACTGGGATGACACCCAGTAGAGCACACGATTCAGTCTGGATCCAGACTTTTATTTGGATCTGCATCGACAATACTCATCAATATCAGTCCCCTAATTACGCCTGATTTATTTAAATTTTTCATCAAGATCCATTTATTGTTCACTTGGTTATTGGTGGAAATGTGAAAGAAAGAATAAAACACCCTATCTCACAATGTGAAAGAGAAACAAATTTAAAATCTGTACCTTTACCCAGATCCTTTCAAAGTTGAATGGGTCCCATCCTTCCACCAAGGTTTGCTGAAATCCATTTGGTAGTTTCTGCATCATCCTGCAAACAAACAAAAGAACAGGAACAGTGAATATCTGACGTAAACATAATGAAAAGTTACAAAGGACAACAGTCAGTTGTGATACCTGACGTTGTCTCCATTCACAATCATAAAGTAGTGGTCTCTGCTGTTTTTATGTCTTTTTTGGTTAACATTTATGAACCCTTCTCAAAGATTTCGGTTGGGGTTGATGTTGCTGCTGGTGGATCAAAAACGATGTCTTAGGATGATGCCTCAGTTTTTAGTGAGAACACAAAAGGAAAGTCTTTTATCTTCGCTCCCATTTCACAAAGCCATTAATCCTCAGTAATAAACTTAAAACTATAATAAATATATTAACAAGCACTTTGACACAAGAAATATAATATAATATAATAATCTAATCCTTTCCCTGAACGTCAGTCTCATGATCATCTCTCTTCAAGTCTCAACAGTGACAAAATATCACCATAAACACTTTTGGAGACAATGTGCTCATCTGTCCATCTGAGCCATGGACATGACATGACATCATCTCGTTGTCCGGTGCACAATGAATCTTCTTATGTGGGAAAAAAAAAACAAGATCGTCGGGACCCTCGATAGATAAGAGCCTCCCGTCAAGGTCTTCCAACACTTTCTCTCTGCTGGCAACAACTGATTTATGGCGTCCCATAAAGGTTTTATGAGGTCGGTGTCAAAGGGCCTTGTATTCTCGTCTGCTGTGGTTTCCACTGTATGTTTCGGAGAAATGATGGACCACCTGTCTGGTGCATCATGGGACTACACGGCGAGGGAAGGAATCGTTATATGTTGAAGTCACATGATATAATTCAGAGGAAGTGGAGGTATTTATCTTTATTCTCTGTGGTGAAAGTCCAAGCAACATACAGCATTTTGATTTTCTTTCTACAAATATATATTACACCACAGCCATTAAATCTTAAAACTGCTCAAACAGCCAATCATTGCTCATCTATGAGACAGGAAATGACTTCCTTCAACAGCTGACGTATATGGAATGTGCAGGTGGCCGCATCCTGTCGTCTTCTGCACAATGCATTATTTCCTGCTGAATGTTTCGTGCTCTCTATTTCAAAGGCAAAGTGTCTTGGCCCTGCTGAGAGGCCAGATAGGCAGCAGACATAAATAATTCACGCGGCTGCAAGGGCAGGATACACACAGGCTCCTGAGAGATCGCACCAGTGCCGGACTGGTTATTTAGGCTGGAGCGAGGGCAAGAAGAAGCTCTGACGTCTTCCTCCGAGGCCTTGGGAAGGTTTTTGACGCAGGATGATTCCCGAGTTGAAAATAGTACCACGGACACTCTCTGGGGTTTAGAAATGGAGTAAGAGCTGTGACTGCAGTTGTAATTGGCTGGGGTTAAGATCCTAGATGCAATATCGGCTTGGCACTACAAATAGAAAAGGGAGGGAGGCAATTACCTACGTCAGCGAGAGGGAAAAGGGGTGAAATACATTTACTGAAATGAACAAAATGAAAGAATTTCTTTGCCCCGAGGGACTGATAAAAAAAAAAAATAAAACTTCTAAATGAAGGTGGCTCACAGCATCGAAACACTCAAATAAACTGAGAAAAAGCATCAGAGACAAATCACGATTCTCTTAATTAATTCATAAGTTGATAATCGTGACTCATCTCTGGGAACTTCCATTTCCCTCCAATTCATCCTGAACAGAGCATCAGCAGCACCGGACGCTCTATATTTAGTACGCTGAGCGGAAGTATAAATAAAAAACCCAGGCAGGCTGATTAAGTCTCCTCAAGAGTGGAGAAGTTTAGAATTAAACAGAAAGGCTAATTAGCCAAAGCCATCGGGCATGAAATGAGAGTGAAGCCTCTGCACAATGTGTGACTCAGAACATGCATGCATGCAAAACTGCAGTCGACGTGTAATCAAGAGATATCACTGCAGACGGTGATCAGCGGTGGCAGCTGGGAGTCAGAGCTTATTGATATTTGGTTTGCGGAGGTGAAAATGATTTCATTTTGAGTTGTTATGGGGTCGTTTATAAAAGCATATTTGTGGGTGGAAGCACAGGATAACTTGACAATGAAAGGTTAAATACATTAAAACAATTATTAGATGTTTTCATTGATCACAGAAATTATTCCAGCTCCAAGCTCAATACAAAGAGGAAATGCAAATACCATGGACTATCAACTATTCAACCTGGCTACCATAGTTCTGTAGATGTTGCCAGACTCTTAGCAAAGACCCAGAATAAAAATAAAAGTCTTTTATAGGGGAAAAAAAATCGCTTTTGTGGACTGTCGCAGTTGCCACATAAGATCACATTGTAGCCAGATTTGGCACAAGAAGCCCAAAACATTATTTACTTATTCATTTATATAAAACAACTATTTAAGGTCATGAATGAATCTTCAAGCCAAGTTAATATAGATGTTGTGGTCTGTTGGAGTTCAACTGATGGTCATTAAGTTGCAAAAAAGTTAAATAGAAACGAGGATTCTTCCATTTGAAAAAACAGTTGCCAGCTTTCAATGCTACCCTTTGTCTCTATCTATTGTGATTCACAACGATGGATTTGCAATTTCAAATTGAGGCTGATGAGGCTAGAACCAAATCCTCTGGATACATGGGCTCCAAAGGCATCTCCTCCAGAGGTAGAAGGTCGTTCAGTATCCCTCCCTTGAGACCATCCAGGAACACAGCAAGAAGAGAGCTAAATGCATTTTAAAGCCCTGAACATTTCCCACTTAATCATGGCAGGTCAGACTCTATCGACCTGTGGCAGAATTCGACCAGGGTCGAGCTCGTTCCAGTGGATTTATACCCTGAGCTATTAGCTGGTGCCTCCCACCTGGTCCCATAGCAACCAGGCTACATACATCTATGACTAGATGCTGATTATATCATCATAGATCGTATTTCAGCAACTGACCACTGTAATTAGCATAGACATTATTTTACACCGAAGCATTTGGTCTGGAGTCACGTGTAACAGGAAGCTATTAGCCTCTTGAGCTCCTGTTCTGGCTGACAGAGATCCCGGACCGCACGCTGGTCCAAACAGTTGGCCGCCGTCCATCCTCTCAGGCCAGTGTGATTCAGGGATTGCAGCTCAGCGAGTGAAAACCCACACTGAAGCCCTGGGAACGGGATGAAATCGACTTCCTCCTCATTAACAGCAGAATAACGCGCGGAGAAGCAAAGGTCAGCCGCCGTGGTCGAGCTGAATCTTAATAACCCACCAGCGAACACAATGAAGCCTGTTGAACACGATCATTCCAGGTGGGACGGCTTCAAACAACGCCTTAGTTCAGACGATTGTGTTGATTTCAGAAGAACAAAAAACAGAAACAGCCTCCAGGGGGAGCTATGTTCTCCAAATCCCCAAGTGTGTACAGAAGGAAAAGGAAATAATTTGCAGATGTGTTCACTTTTAGACACTTGACTTCTATCTTAAATTTTTTCTTTCCTGCTTTGCTGAGCCATGATTTATTCATGACTACTTTCTGCTCGGACCATCCTCACAGGAAGACCTGGAGGGGGAATCAATAGAGACAAGAAAGAAAAGCTCTCTCCCTTTTCCCTCCAAATGTATTCATCTCACTTCTCTGTGGATAACCTCCTCTATCATGTCACTGATCAGATTGAAAATACACCGTCCTCTGCCTGAAGGTGCAGTTCAGCCAATTTGATGAGAACTTTTGTTTTTGGTCTGATACTCCGGCGAGTCTGGCAAGATGGACAGGTAGACAGACAGAGTGTCCATCAACCCAGACAACAGAGACTGAGTTCAAACGGCTGCGTTATTTTTCTGAAAAAATAAGCTCCTCATCACCCCTTATTTTTATATCCAAAGTAATGACTTTCATTTTATTGCATCTTCCTCCATGTGTTTGGAAGTCTGTGATGGCGAACTTCAGGGAAAGATTTGAAACACTGTACTGGTTAAAGAGGAAACCAGCCAGAGAAAAATGTCTCTATAGTTCTGAAATAAATGACTCAAACATGAGTGGCACACTAGTCACGATGTCCTTTTTACACAACCTGTTCAAGGCCTCGCCATTCTGTATGAAACGGTATAAAAAAACAGAATGTAGCGGCACGGTGGGACAGACACGTCACATGTCTGATTTCAGAATGCAGACATGTCTAAAAAATCACACGGGGGGGTGGGATCACGCTGGTGTGTTTGGTTCGGTGAGTTGGCGTGTGTTTAACATGTTATAATGAGGAATCCCAGCAATACTTCAACATTATTCACATATATTTATATACTATACTACTCTGCATCATCCTCTGTGTGGAGGGTGATTCAACTGTGTGAGTCAGAGCACAGGGTCAGGGGAAGAAAGTAGGTTTCATTCTGTGTAGGTGGAAGGAACAGAAAGACTTGGAGAGCCATGATGAAACTGGAACCAGGAAGAAGTTACAGCCTGGTTCACATCCAGGTTTGAGTTGGTTTAACCTCTGATTTTGTCAAAGAAAAGAGGGTTTAAGGAAAACTGCAGAAAAAGCTGACGAATCCTTTAAGGTTTTTCACAATAGCCGATTCTTCTCACACTGTAAATGAATCCATATTTAATGTAGAATATTGATTCTAGCAGCAGTAGATCATAATTCAGTATATTGATGTTTATGAATACTTGAGTCAAACATACGTGAAAGGCTCAGCGCTGTTATCTCATTGATTAATCGATAGTGTTTCAGGTGAGGCAGACGATTTCCACAACAGTGTAATTGTGAAATTGTTGCTGTGAGCTTCGCCGCAGAGCCTGTGATCTAATCTCCGTTATGAGGTGTGTGTGTGTGTGTGTGTGTGTGTGTGTGTGTGTGTGGGTGTGTGTGTGTGTGTGTGTGTGTGTGTGTGTGTGTGTGTGTGTGTGTGTGTGTGTGTGTGATGGCGCTCTGGCTTTTTATGAGCTCGGGCCCCGACATCAGGAACGTATTTCATAAACAGTCTCGGTCCAACTAAAAGATTATTCAACCTCTGGTGTGTTGATGTAAACAAGATAAGGGGCCGCAGTGGGAACACGGTGGAAATATGTGTGACCTGGACTGCACATCATGTTCAAAGATCAATTGATTGTCCTGTTTCGCTCTAATAAGTGGTTGCATGTCATTCAATCTGCACCATAGAAATCTAACAAGTTAAAAACACTAAACTGTGCCTCATACAGTATCAGATAAATGACCAGAGAGCCAAAAAGGAAGAGTGCATCCGTAAGGTTACGATTGAATCAAAAGGAATCACATGACAGCAGCCTCCCACACACACTATGCATCTCTTGTACTTCCCATATGCAGTTAAACTGACTTCAAGGAAGATTTTCACACAGTTAGACACGGGAGGAGTGTATGTGTGCAAAGTTTAAATAAGGTGAGCTGATAAAAAAAATGTAGACATGACTACCCCCCCCTTCAGATATTCTCACTTTTTCCAAACAGCTAAAACAAAGTCCTCTTTGTGTTCAGAAAAGATTCAGAACAACGTGATGAATATTTTTTTTTTAATGAAAAATTAAAGTCCTGCTTTGGGAAAAAGAGTAGACAAAGTGCCGCAAGAGGAGTCTGTCCTCGAAAGAAACTAGAAGTTCAGTCAAGCGCGTGCCTCCGCAAAAGCCACTGTCCTCTTATGAAACCAGGTTTGAATCTGCTACATCTGTATTTTCATTTAGATCCACACCAGATTACACAGTCACTCAGATCCATGCACTACTTTCTCTCTGGGGAACTGGTGAAGAATTCACACACAAAAAAACCCTTAAAATAATTCCCATGTCCAAACCCTTTTTCTAGATCTACGGCAAAATGTATTGGGTTCTTTCTTGGGCCATCCTTCCATAAAGTTTTGTATGAATCCATTCAGAATTTTTTACGAATTCCTGACAACAAACAGACAAACAAACCCAAATTTCATGTGCAATCGTAGCCAACATTCTCTCGTGTATTATAAGGTAGTAACCGCACAAGCAGGCTTGGTGAGGTTGATGTCGAGCTCATGTTAATAAAGCAGAATTTTCCTCACCACCTGCACAGCTGCTGATGGACCAAGCTTGGCAGCAGCGAAAATAACAAACATCTGTCACAACGATGGATTCGGCTCCAGATGTTCACTCTCACTTCTGCTGCTGTGTTATGAGGCCAGTGATTCTTCTCCCAAAAACAATAAATGTTGTTTTGGTTGCAGCTGAATTATTTTACTTGCCAATGTAGAACAGGGTGTATATCTTTATCTGTATATAATAGCAAATGTTTATGCATGTTCTGTAAAAAACTGAGAGGGCAGTTCTGTGTGAGACAGAGACGCTACTTTTGCTGTGGTTTTATATGTTAATAAAACTACAATAAGAATCATAAAACTATCTCACTCTCCACCTTCAATCCAAACGACCCATACATCCGGCGGGCAGCGAGGAGGCGTCTCCTAGCAACTAGTTCTCAGCTGAAGCATTGGGTCAGCTGGCCTGTTCTGGAGCGGAGGACATTGGCTCGGCACTGTGGTGTGTCTGAAGAACTGTCCCCATGCAGGACGGACAGAAATTCAACAAGTGTGCGGAAAGATTAAGAAAATACTGTAAAAAAAAAAAAAATCTATGTTAAGGGACGTGTGTTCTGTGCAAAGCTGAACACAGACCCTGACAGAATGAAGAATGATTTTGTATTGAATGAATTATGCCTCACTTATCATTCTAGTAGACAACATCACAGCTCCGTCAAATTAATGCGGCGCAGTAAAGCGGAGCACTTCATCACGTGGGGCGTAAATTCCCTGCCCGGACAGATTTACATTGATTGAGCACACAGAGATGAGATGAACACGCCCCCTTCTGGCAATAAAACGCCACAATCAATGACCCGTCGGACTCTCGTCGCAGCTGCACCCCAGTCAGTCAGCCAGGTTTTAAACAGTCCAGCGATATGAGGAGTCAGTGTGAGGAGAGAAATGTAAAGAAAAGGAGGCCAGCAAACTTCAGAGAAGGCAAAGTGGATTCATTATGTCTTCATCAATTTATGAGACATATGATGCTATTTCAGTTCTTTCCTTTAGTGTGTTATGAGTTATATGGGTGAAATTCTGAGTTTCAATTGGGTTTAACCCTGAGAGAAAGAACCGTTCGAGATCAATTCCACCAAAACACCTTTTCACTCACTCTTGGGGGGACTCAATATGTCAAGAATGCCCATACAGAATTTCATTACGAGGACATGGGCTAACAGTGACCTTGCCTTTTGACCACCTTGAGTCTGTTTGTGCTAAATTTGAAAAAATTTCCCCCAGGGCATTCTTCACATATCAAATTCAAGGGGCCAAAATAACGGGGGTTTGTGGGGTTGCAGTGACCTCAACAAGAATTGGACACACAGACAAACCAAAAACACGATGCCTCCGGCCAAAGCGGCTGCGTATGCATAAAGCACAAGTAACCTTTTAGGACCCTAAACTTCATCATTGAAGATAGCAATAAACCACAGCAACATCACCATGGTAACGTCTTTCCTCTTCCTATAGCAAACACAGCAGAAGGCTACATGAATTAACCAAAGTATTTTTAGCAGTTTATTGCCATCTTAAGATTTTCGTGACATTTTCACAAAGGTCCTTAATTATCTGCATGGTGACTCTTGAAGTCAATGCATCTGAGGCACGTAAAAAATATGTTTATGTTACGTGAGCTGCTTCTTAGATTGATGACGTCTAAGATGGTTGTTACAGGATGTTTGCCTTAAATATTATTATTAGTCACACACAAGCTGCTCTGCTCTAACCTGAGGCAAGAACATGACCTTTACCAATAATGTTCACAAAAATAATTTTCTGACTGTGTGAAAAGAATTTCTTTACCATCTGAGTAACCTCCACAATTCATGCTTAAGTATCACATTTAGACATTTAAGAAGATTCAAAAGCTATTTCTTTTTAAGGATACAAAACTGGTCATGCTAAAAGAACAACCTGATTAAACACAGCCATGGTCACCTAAAAAATAAAGATGGAACTGGACAAAAGCTTTGACCGTGCATGAATGGTCAGATTTTAATCCGTCCCCTGCAACAGCTCACCAAAGGACAGAGTCAATTTTTATGGTTGTGTTTTACAGCAAACGCAGACACCTCAACATGGAGCAAGCGAATTTAAACCACTGACTGTAGCTTATCTCCACGGCTCAGCACCGGCAGCGTTAGAAATCGTCAGCAGAGACGAGCGTGCCGCCCCACAGCCCATCACAGAGGAAGTAACACGACGTAATTACACTTTAATTCAGGCCAAATCAATATCTGCTGAATGAAAATTAGCTTTAACGAGCAACTTATTATGTTGCAGCGAAATTGACACCGTGGGTTCATTCCTCCTTTAATGCTCTCGTAAATTCATAAAGGGAGTCATCTAAGGAACACAATGCATGATGGGAACATTTCCTTTGCACGTACGAGCAGTAAAATAACATGAGATGTGTTATATTTTGAGTGTATTTCGCGTTGTTACGTCCCACAGAGAAAAAAACGAGGCAATAATAATTAGAAGTAGAAAAATAAAACAATAGTGAACAAGTGGGAAACTGTATGAAACAATTGCAGGTCCTAAAAGTCAAAAAAGCCTGTTCATAATACAATTGTAGCTTGTGCAACATGTAACATGTTTACTACATATAGTATTGTTTGTAGTTTTGCTATTAAATTTGATTCATATTCCCCTGAAATGTAAAATAATTTACGATTCAACAGATGTTTATCTACTGGCTTCTGACAGCTTTACATGCTGACATAAAGCATTGAATATAAAAAACCTCATTAACCAGACTTTTGATATAACTTTTATAAAATGGTATTTTAGTTAAGAGAACTGATAGACACCGATAAAGGAGGCATTTCCGTGGACATTTCCAAGGCTAATTACCCACAATTCATAGTGTTGCGGGTAAACAGACCACATTAAAGAAGCAACGAACATTGACGTTACAAATGAGAAGTTTGTTAAAGGTATAAACCAAAGACTGCGTTCAAGGAAAAGATATTTATCGTGTTTGTTGGATTAAACTGCGGCCAGGCACCAGGAGGCAATCAAGAGGCTTTGGCTTCACCTGTGTGCAGCAGTCGGCCATCTTGTCTCCAGTATAAACACACAGCTGGAGCTGATTCACTCCATTCGTGTAGTTGTTCTTCACAATGGAGCAAATTAAAAAGTAAATAATTCACAAATTACCTCTCGTCCACTGGAGCCTGGATCTTAGTGACGTCAGGCGTTGAGTCCCTCCAGCAGCCACTTCAATAAAACTTCTTAAACTCGCTGAGTTAAGGGTGTTAGCATCATGAAGCTAACGTGACGTGACGTGTGAGCACACTCAAACACTCATCAAGCAACTTTGTGACGTTTCAGGCCCCGGTGACGGGGTTTCCGGTCAGGAAGCGCAGGGGCGGGCGCAGGTGAATCCGCGAAGTTTAAAGGACAGGAAGTTTTAGTAACTTAATTTCAAAGTAAAACAGGAAATGAAGGATGATACGCATTAACTTTATCTTGAGCTTTGGGGGATGTTACATGTTAAAACAGTGTCATGACAGCAAAGTGCATTTATGTCCAGAGTCTTTGTGTCTGTAATAGACACTAGTCTCGCGTTTTTATTTAAAACTAGGATTCTTTGCGTCTTGGCTTGTGGACAGTGAGAGTTGTCCATCGTGTAGTTTTTGCTTTGTCCTGCTAGCTAACAGACAAACCAACAAACCAGGGTGAAAATCTCATTATCTCATTGGCAAAAACACACAAACAAAAAATGACACCTCAAGGAAATAAAGTTGTTCTTCAATAACAAGAAACTGAACAGCTGAAAGTTAAACAGCGTTCCCTGCTGCCGCACCACTGAGACTTGTCCACATCGATGGATAGATCATTGATCCCAAGGGAAATCCAGGAGTTATCATTTCTGTTTGGGACCAATCTGTAAGGAAAAACTCGGTTCTACTAATCCAAACCTGGAAATACAGCTGCAATCATCATCGATACCACCTGACATCAGACGACTCGCCAAAGAGAAGCAATTCCAGACGACGCCTTGGAGAGGTTAGAGTGATATATATGTAATTATGTGTTCAATCATTTAGAATCACCCTCAAAGGGAAAGGGAAAAGGTTTGTGACCCCTGACCTATTGGTGCTGTTATCACCTCTTTTTGAAGCTCTACTTTGAGAGATTCAGTTTTAATAATACTTACATGGTGCATTTTTCATGTATGGTGTACATACGTGTGTGTGTGTGTGTGTGTGTGTGTGTGTGTGTGCGTGTGAGCGTTAATTAATTCCCAGGACTATAGCGCACACACCCATACACTCATTCTATGCACTAACAGGGTTTGTAATTTGGGGATTTGAGACGTCAGGACTTGTTCCAGGCATGCTAAGACCTGGTTGCCGTGGGCGATGTCTCCACAAGGGAAGAATGATTATTTTTGATGAGGAGAGAAATGATTGATGTTAAACCTTCAGCAGGAGCGCATCAAGGGTTTTTGGGGGCCCTGGGCAAAAGTGCCAAACCAAAAATTCACCCTCACCTCAGGAAACGCTTGATACTAAACCACTCTTCAAATGATTCTCTCTTATTATCAAAATCATAGACCAAGTGCAGACTGTGTTCTATTGGCATGGGGCCTCATTAGGGGGCCTTCGACGGTGGTGTTGTTGCAGTCTCTTGTTATTCATGAACTGCTTATTATTTATATCCATTTTTTGTCTTTGTCATTTGTCTTATTTTATTTTGTTTTAGTCAAATCTTAGTGTCGATCATACATATTTTATTATCTTAACTTTCTGTTATTGTTGAATTCAAATGACCTTTGAATTTTATATAAATTGTATAAATTGTCGTTGCTATGGACTCATGTAAGCAGCCATTCTCCAGGGCCCCCCTCTCAGCTCGGGGCCCCTGCCACTTGTTTTGCCTGCCCTGCACCCCCTGCCCCTCAGTGTGCTTTATTTTCATTACAATGGTTCTCACATGTTTTCATGTCACGTCGGATCCTCACCCCCAAAGATTCATCTTTTAATCAGAGCCATATGTTTAGATTCTGTCAAGGTTTAATTGTGTATTTCAAAAACATGGTGAGAATAAATCCTGTAATTAACACGGTTATTTCTATACATTTTCTAATTGGCATGTGTACTGAGGGAAATCATATTAAATCATGATGAAACCTCACTCTGACAACAGTTGATTTACAGAATGGAAAAACGCCTTGGGGACGCTCCTGGGTAAATGGCTCATGGGGAATGTCAGGGTTTATTCGCTTTGTATTCTGCTCCTTGTGAGATGAGCCTATGGGAGTGAGGTGTCTGAGGCTGGTCGGGCCTCCCACTTCACCGGACAGAACTCCTGGGAGGTCAGGTGGAAAGCGGCAGGGGAGGAGGGCTCACGTACCCTGGGGTGGGTGTGGAAGCTGGTGGCAGATTCACCCGCTCAGAGAGAGAGAGGTGGAGGTAGATTCACACCTGCATGCTCGGGATGTCTTGGAGAGAATTTTTGCATCTACCTTGAGTCAGATTATAGAAGAAATTAGGGGCCAAAGTTAGCAACTAGTGATTTAAGAGATTTCAGAGTTCAGATATGGATTGATCTCGTGCTCTTTTCTCTTGGGAATAAGTGAGTTAGACCTGGGAAAAGAGGATTAAGTGTCATGCTCTAAAATGCATCAATAGTAAGAAAGAAAGAAAGCACAGTGAGGTAAAAGAGCCCCATCTGCTGGCCAAAGGAGGAACAATATCCCACTATTAAAAACTGCAGGCTGGACACAATAACATGAACTTCTCCAACTTCTCTGTCAAGGACTTTGTTACAACAGAAGAGGATGAAGGGATGAGCAAAGAAAAGGATGGGTAAAGAAAACTGAGACAAACAAAGCGTGATGGGTCGACCGGGAATATAAATTGTATGATACTTTGATATTTTGCTGCAGTGCATACATTTATAATTGAATGTATTAAATGATCCACAAAAAGCAAACAAAACATAATATGACAGTAAAGTCTGTATATCAAGATTCACATTTGATTTTATGATCAACTTTGTCAAGTGTCACATGTAAAAACAGAATCATGAGAGGACACCACAGGATTTTCTGAACTGTCGAAAGTGCTGAATCTATATGTCTCTATTCTGTATTTCAAAAGTTGAGAATACAAATGCATGCACCCTCATCTTCTAGCCATCACATCACACAACACTGTGTCCTCACATCTAAAACCTGCAGATATACACACATCAGAAATCTTTACCAAACCAACATCTTATGTTTTGTGCGTGGAGGAATTTTAATGAGCAGAGTGGTGTCTGATGAAGTGAAACTGACATCAATGCAGTGGTCAGTCAAGTGTAAAAGAGAAAAACAAGCTGATAGAGTTGCCTCTGTTATTCTTCTCTCTGTTATCCTGAGGCCTGTTTGATCATTGGGTCCATGTATATATGAAAACTGTGAGGAAAAGAGTTGCTGAAATAAAAGAAGTTGAGCTTTACAGAGTTTTGTGTTGGTGAAAAGCCGCCCTCCTGCGGCCTGTGCAGCTGCCTCTTTCAAAACCCTGACCCCCCCCCCCCTGTACCCGAAAAGGCCTCTATCAAGCTGCACAAGAATGCAAGTGCACATGCACAAAAAACCCCCAGTTCAAATCAGGGACGTGTCGAGCCTCTAAACTGCTGTTTTTAGTTGCTGGAGCTTGTTCTGTGATTCCTCGAGCTGGGTGGGTGAGTGCTGCGAGCCAATGAGGGGAGCAGAACACATGCAGGAGAAAATGAGGGGAACAGTCGGGGAGAGGGTGCATGTTGTGGCAGGTGTTACCTCATCCTTCTGCAGCTTCACACTGATTCCAACTTGTGTCCAAAGGCTTTGCAAGATATAGAGGAGCGGTGGCTGCTGTTCGGAGGGAAAGCAGCAGAGGGAAGAGTGGTGCTGAGAGAGAAGCAGAGGTAAGAACTGAATCTTATCAGAACTCCAATTGAAAAGTTTAAACAAGCAGAGGAGCAAAGGAGACTTGTCAAATTGTCAGTGTGCAGCCACGCAGAGATGGAGAGGACGCAGAGGAAGACAGAGGGAGACGGGAAGAAGGAGGAGACGGATGAGGAGGTGGTGCACCTCCGCAGACAGATAGGCCTCCTGCCCGCTGTGTCCTTAATCATCGGGACGGTGGTGGGCAGCGGCATCTTCATCGCACCCAAGGGCGTCCTGATGAACAGTGGGAGCGTGGGACTGTCTCTGCTGGTGTGGACGCTGAGCGGGATCCTCTCACTGTTTGGTAAGAGAAGCGAAAACATGTGGCTGTATTTTAAAACTGTTTGACACATACATCTTCCATCCACTGTGTTGATCTCGCTTAGAAACAAAACCTCCAGTAAACAACCGGTAACTTAATAACCCTCTACATCAGTGGGCAGCAGATCTGTCAAGAAGTACCAAATATAGTATTAAACTCATCCTATAGGTTCCACTGTATTTTCTATATGAGGCCTACAATGTTTTTTAATGTGATTGTGTCAGGTTACTCATCAAACATCTTTACAGAAGATATTTTTCCTCATCAGTGTGTGACAATTCACTCTTGTCTGTTTCGTCAGGTGCTTTGTGCTTCGCTGAACTGGGCACCAGTTTTACAAAGTCAGGGGGTCAATACATTTACCTGCTGGAGACTCTGGGGCCGCTGCCTGCCTTCCTACGTCTCTGGATAGAGTTCTTATTCGTCAGGTTAGTTTTGACTCACAGTAGAACGCGTCCCGTTGAATTCAATAAAGTCAGATTTCACACACTCATAGATATAAGTCCCCTGAATATGTCTGATTCTTTTTCAACAAAAAAAACTCATCCATATACACCATGTCTGGTGTCTATCCTAATGTCTGTTTGTACCATATTTATCTAATTATTATTTCATTATTATTATTTAAGATTGCTTCAATAACCTCTGAGGAAAACATAGCACTCTAACTTGCATTCGTGAGCTGGAAGCAAAGTAATTTTTGCTCTACTGTGCAGTTGTCTTGTCTTATGGTCTGAAAGACAATTCAAATTCACCCTGGATCTGGATTTTGTTTTGAATTGCACACACTCATAGACAGCAGTCCCCTAAATGTGCCTCATGGATCCGCCCTTTTTCTCTGGATTCACACCAAACCTTACATAAGTTCTTTCTTGGTCCATGTCTCCTCCTTAATTCCACAAGGTTTTGTAGAAAGCCCTTAAACAGTTGTTGCATAATTCCACAGCCAACAACCAAAACACATAAAACTTAAGCTCCTCTGCTGACATAGTGACAAATGTATTTCCCCCCACAGACCGGCCGTGGCTGCCTACGTGTCGCTGGCGTTCGGCCGCTATGTGGTGGAGCCCTTCTTTGAACCTTGTGAGCCTCCCATGGGGCTTATCAGACTTATCAGCGTCCTCGGAGTGAGTGAGTGGTTTTATACGACCTCCTTCTAACCACAATGCCATCATACGGCTCTAAATGATCTCTGATAAAGATCCATAAACTCTTCTTTTACCAGTTGTTTGTCTTTGTGTCTGCGCAGCATTCGTCACGGTGGTCAACTGCTGGAGCGTGACCTTCGCCTATCGCACCCAGGTCGTCTTGACTTTCGTTAAGATGTTTGCTCTGGTCCTCATCATCGTCCCTGGTTTCATTGCAATTGGCAAAGGTGAGAGGATGTAATTGTTCCCTGTGAGGATACAGGCGGATTTATGAGTTGTCGATGACACTAAGTTACTTTTCTCTCTTCTTCTGTGTCTGTTTCTTTCCAGGACAAACAGAAAACCTCCAGAACGGGTTTGAGGTCGACTTATTAACATTGGATAGGTTGCCATTGGCCTTCTATAATGGTCTATATGCCTATGGTGGATGGTAAGTTCACTGACATGTGCACTGGTCCAAATTCCTTTTTTATTTTACTTCTATAAGGTACAAAAATACCTACAATCACTAAGATGATATAGACGCAACAATCAGAACTCTGTGATTCTGAGTTTTCTGTTTCTCCTTCAGGTTTTATCTGAACTGTGTCACAGAAGAAGTCATTAACCCAAACAGGTATTTTACATTCGACATAATTTCTCTGTGGTTCAGAGACTGTGAAGATGGACGACATATTCACATGTCACTACAGTTTCATAATCAACCTGAAAAAGATTTTTACACATCTCATAATAACAGAGATCTCTAACTTGATGTTTTTGTGTGCAGCACTATTTGCTATGTGCCATATCTTCCATAAAGTTGTTACCATCCAAACGGATAGTCTGACCTCATAGTTTCAGCTTGGTTGTGTACCTGTCAATCAGAACCTGTTTTTGTGGTGAGATAAAATTCCTGGGTCCTCTGTGTGAATCGTGTCTCGTCAGAAACATCCCTCTGGCCATAAGCAGCTCCATGGTGACAGTGACGGTCCTTTACGTGCTCACTAACGTGGCGTACTACACCATGATGACGCCCGCTGAGCTCCTGCTGTCTGACGCTGTGGCTGTGGTCAGTGATCAGAAATAGAAAGACTAAATCTGGACCAAACAGATCAACTGTTGTACGTTGTTGACCAGTGTTTGTCTGCTCCTGTGTCTCTGCAGACGTTTGCCAACCGTGCCATCCAGGCCATTGCTCCCGTGATCCCGGTCCTTGTGGCCCTGTCGTGCCTCGGAGCTCTCAATGGGGGCTTGTTTGGATCACCAAGGTAATCTGGAGGCAGAGAGATGATTATTATCCTTCCTCGTGTCTGTGTTTGGGCTGACAGCCTGATTATAAGATGTGCTCGCTCTTTGTGTTGCAGGATGCTGTTTGTGGGAGGCAGGGAGGGTCACTGGCCCCTGATCTTTTCCATGATTCACGTCCGCAGGAGGACACCTTTGCCTGCTGTGCTGTTTCAGGTAAAATGAGTTCAACGCACAGAACACAGGAGGGTTTTAAGGGACTTTGGGGGCCTCAGGCAAAAGTAACATTTTTGCGATTTACATCAGAGTATCTTGTGACTGCTTTTTTTGAATTTAGTAGTAGTAGCAGTATTGCTACTGTTATTATTATGACACTTAGTATGGTAATGTCATTATAGCTGCGTTGTCTGTCTTCAGTACCCCTTGGCGATGTTGATGATATTCAACGGTGAGATCTACCAGCTCATCAACTTCGTCTCCTTCTCTCGCTGGTTCTTCATCGCCTTGACAACCCTGGGGATGCTCATCCATCGTCATCGCTTCCCTCTCCTCCCGAGACCCTTCAAGGTTCGAGTGCATCGTGCTGACCGGCAGAGCTTTTTCACTCTTTACCTCTCTGTACCCTGACCCCGACCGATCACTGTCATCACATTTGCTCTTTCCCGCCAAACCCACAGGTGCCCGTGCTCATCGCGGTCATCTTCACGGTGGCTTGTTTCTTCATCGTGGGTATGTCTCTGTATTCTGACCCCTGGAACACAGGGTGGAGCTGCATTCTCACACTGACCGGAGTCCCAGTTTACTACGTGACCGTCCACCGCTTCTGTTTGCCCAAGAGGTGTAGACGCATCTTCAGTGAGTCACGTGATCTGCCACCTTATCATTGCTGGGAGTTGAATGAATGTTGTTTTATATGTTTTTAACATATGTGAAAGAAATGAAAGAAGCTTTGCTTAAGCTTATCAGTTTTACAACTTTGAAAATGCTTCAGCAATGAGGTCCGATATGTTATATTGTGTCGAGATGAAAAATGTACCCAGGTTTCTTTTCTGTTAAAGAAAATACAAACAATAATGAACATAGTTCAGACAATACAATAGGCCATTGTTTTAACCTTGTGCTCGGTGCTGCCAGACTGGAGGCTGTTGGATTTAGACCAGAGGTAAGAAAGGCAGCTATGAAAAGCCGTCTCAGCTTTTGTATAATTCAGATTCTCTTTCTTCTACTTCCACAGATTTCTGCAGCAAGCAGCTGCAGATCCTTCTGGAAGTGGCTCAACAGGAAATCCAGACATACTGAGGATACTAGAGCTAGAGAATAGTCTGTATTTAAAGATGGACGACCAGCTCCACTTCCTCCAACCATCCAGAAATTAAGCCAAATTATTGCTGCCATCTTGCAAAGTAGCGATCATGGGATTGAGACGAGGTATCGTGAAGTCCCGCCAATACACACGCTCGACCAATCATGAGTCAGTCTCAGCTGTCAATCATTAAATTTCCCCCAGTTTATAATAGCATCAAACACCTGAACAGTGTGATGAGAACTAACTAAACTGACAGAAACCATCTTTGAGAAAAATACCTACTCCCTGTTATTAATCATGTGAGTGGAAATGAAGGAGTCAGAAAATGCCATCACATCGTGTAGTTTTACAACTTTTAGAGACATTGGACATGATCTAAAACTTCTTTAGACTAACCAAACATTCTTCACCTTCCATCCATGTATACCGATTCTACTTCCAGTAAATTCTTGATAATATATCACAATGAAATGGCATTATTTCAATATTTAAAAAGGTAGCATGGCTGGATTGTGATTGGTTTTTAGGTGTAATATGTGGTTATCAGGTGGAGGATCTTGTTTTTGTGTGAGTGTGGAGATGCAAACGCTGAATGTAATCACAGTGCAGGTGGACATAAGCCACTGGACTTTCTTATCAATTAGTTTTTTTTAAATATGTTAAAAGTAAGTCCAAGCAAGTCCAGTGGTCAACGTCCACTTGTTCAACGTCCTGTAGACACGATGATCTGGAAGACTGAGAACCTTCACAGGTATAAACACCCACAGCTTTATTGTACAGTCATATACAAACACCAAGAAGGCACATGAAGCTCTTACAGCTGTTTGCTCGAGGCCACAACATTCTGATTCCTGCAACTGCAAACACATCAAGTTACTGCAATTTAAGTCTCGTGTGTAAACACAACACACTTGATACTTAGTGATTATTTTGGGAAATCTTTCAAACAAAAAAAGTACACATCCCATTCTATCCTCTGAAGATGGTTCTGCAAGATGATTGGAAACTGATTTTCCCTGTTTTCCTGTTTGTGCTACATGATCATTTTAAAAAGGCAGTGTGTGTCCTTATTGAAAACACAATCTGTGCTTTACAGATACAACATATGAAGCATTTTGTTTCCAAAGATGTGAAATGTTCAAAAATCCCTCTTGCTGATAAAAAGTGCCCTGAAGATAGATACTAACAAACTGAAGAACCATTACTGTGACAACTTGAGATTTAAATGTTTTTACAATAAACATACAGAGACAATCCTATTGCTGTTTGTGCTGTTTGTTTTTTTATTACCAACAATTCTACATCACAAGCTAAAAGTCTAAAAGCTGATTCCAGGAGGCCGACTGAACCGCCTCGCTGGCGGATCAAGCAGTAATATAAATGTCTTAACATTTACATATGTAAAAAGCTAAATTATATATTAAAATGTGCAAATCAACATACATATACACTTTGACATACTTCTCTTCTCTAGATTCCTTTGCAAGGACAGTCGGATTCAACAGGAAGGATAGAAGATAAAAGAAAACAGGACTGTGTGGAAAAATTAAAAGTGACACTGAGGAGGTTAATGAATGACGCAAAAATGGAGATTCGCGCCAGAGGCGGAGAGGAAATGTGACCTACTTGTTAACATTCTAAGCGACCCTGTCAATCATTCTGTAATAAAGGTTCTGATTATAAACGGCAAAAAAAGCAAAGCAGCTGCAAAAGTAAGATAATTCAAATTAACAACCACAGACACTGGATGGAAGGATGCATCCCTTACACTAAAACTGCAATTTGTAAACTTAAGCACAATCGAACTCCAGCAGACGTGGCAGCATGGAGAGTTGCTTCTCTTCAGTTATACTTTAGTGTTTTTGCAGTGAAATCAAATCAGGCAGAATAAATATAAAGTCAAGTGCTAAATTTCTGCTGTCAACCAGACAAACAGCGTAAAGGTTTTTTGGTTCTCTGTCAAATTCCCCCAAGTCGATGGATAATAACTTCAAACCATATAAATAACAGTTATTTATTTCCAAATATTTCCAAATTCGTAAAAAAATTATTATCCCAGGTGGAACATTTTAATTTTCTAGTTAATTAACTTCTTGTACATTTGCACCTGCTTTGCTGTTTCTGTTGCAGCTATCCAAACCATAGTGTTACTGCCATGTGATGAATAGAAAATATTTCCTGCCCTCCAGCTACTTAAACTGTGGAATGAACTCGGACCAACTGATGTTGGCCATACCCAGGTCGTCATCGTCCAGACAGGAGAAGCTAATGTCCACCAGTATCTTGCTCAAGCTGTCATTCATGGTATCGAGGACGAGACCCTCTGTGATCGAGCGGTTAACGGGTGTGCCACCTCCTGCCTGGAGCAGCTCTCTGGAGCAGCTGCTCTGGTGGCCTTCGATGGGAGAGTCAGCTGGTCCTGTGACTCTGGAGGGAGCTGATGTGAGCAGCTCTCTGGGGGAGTTAAACAGGGGCCAGTCTTTAAATGGGGTGCTGCTGAAGCTGAATGTGGTGTAGTCGTGGCGGGGGGTGACGGCGGGACCACCCGGTGTGCGAATGGGGCTGAAATCCAGGAGGTTCTGGCTCCCTTTCCCCACAGGGGTCACCTTCCAGGGCTCCGGTATGGAGTTAGAGGGGGGCTTGCTGGGGGTGGAGGAGGTCAGTTGGCTGTTACTTTTTATGGGGGTCTTGAAGGAGAACTCCCGTTCGGGGCTGTGCTGCTCATGCTGCTGCTCGTCTACCTCAGTGTCTTGCATGTCATGGAAAATGGAAGCATCGGAGGCGACGCCAGAGTCAAAGAAAGTGTTTTCAGGACAGAGGAGTACGGGCTCCTCATGAACAGAGCGAATCAGACGCTGTTTGCGCCTGGAGCGGCTGGCTTGACTTTTTGGCGGGGCTTTGGGAGTCTCGCATTTAACCGGAACACATACCGGCTCCTCCTTTATCTCCCTCGGATGGTCCTCGTTCTTCTCAGGATACAGAACCACAGCTGGAGTGTCACTTTTTGTCACCTGTCAGACAAACATACCATTTAATTCACACACGTTTTAACAGAGAAATGTGAAATCTGTCCCGCACCAACCAATATTTCTCCTGCAATGCTGATCCCATACGACTTAAATGCTGAAATCGTGTGTTTGGATTCATCCATCATTCTGGGGTGCACTGCAGAGACTTTACCTTAGGGGCTATCCGCACTCTCTTGGTTCCTCGTGAAATGTTCCGTTTCTGCTGCGAGGATAACAGGGGAAACGGGGCCGACGAGGACGGCAGGTAGACAGAGGATGTGACTGGGAGCTGGATCGGGACCAAGTACGAGTCGGTTCGAGGGAGGAGAGGTTTCATCTTTCTCTCTGAACGGAGAGAAGACAGCAACAAATCAGAGGAGGACATTTTAAAAATATTAACATTTCTGTCCATTTGCCTGCTTCAATCTGCTGTCCCCGTCTCCCCAGTTAACTGTACTTAAGTCCTGTCCGTCTGTGTTAACTCACCAGAGCCGTTTTGTGTCTTTCGTGCATCAGGAAGCAACTTCTTCTGTTGCTGTGAAAAAAAAAAGAACAAAATAATCACATCCCTTTACTGTGCCCTCTAACTTTTGACCATACGTTACTGACAACCTGTGAAAAGAGCACAACTTCTCTTATGTCTGTCCCTACTTTGCACATGTTTCAGTGTGCATGTCCACTGAAAGCAGACTAGTCCATCACTGTGAAATCTGCCTCTCTGCTGTTCATGCCATCTCCCCCTGCAACAAAAAGTTTTCTCTCCTAAACTCTGAGGTTTCCACTGCATTCGTTGGATCTTCTGACTTTTCTGTCTCTTCATCTGCTGCCTGACTGAAAAGCTGAAAACTGTTCCTGGAGAGCTGAAAGTAGAGTAAACCAGTCTTACTTGATGGGGAAATAAAAGCATTGGCACTGGGACAGGAGCCGTCATTGGGTCACTACCAGGCTGTGGAGAGGGGTGTGAAGGGAGAAGGGGAAAATACAGACAATGGAAAACATTGAAATCCAAAATTAGTCGAAGGTGACATAAAGTTTTATAACTGCAAAACCATGGATAACAATGATGACGCTTTAGTGAAAAGTTGTGCTCACCTTGTAAATCTGATCAAGAGTGAGACATCGATTTGCCTCAGGCCGGATGGTCCAGAAAGAAACTTTACCATCCAGGGACGTGTCACGAATGAACATGTCATGCAGAGAGAGGTTATGGCGGATGGAATTCTATAATAATAGATAAGAACAATCTTTAATGCATGTTTCTTTGTCATCCGTTGTGGTATATGTGGCCATGAATTACAGATTGTATTCTTTAGTTCTATAGTACCTTCCATCCTGGTTTGGCCACCTCTCTAAAGTAAGGGAAGTGGTCCTCGATCCAAGTGTAAATCTCTTTCAGCGTCATCCTTCTGTTCTTCTGACTGTTGATGGCAAACTGGATCATGGCCATGTAGGAGTATGGTGGCCTCTCTGACATGGGTTGTTGAACAGCGTCTTTATTGGCTGGTTTATCGTGTGCCTGTAGAGAAAAGGAATTAAAACACAGAGAAGACTATAAAATGGTGCCCAACAGAGATTTCTACTGAATCTCACACGTGTAAAATGTGATTTCTCGGGGAGGTTCATAAATGAGCAAAATAAACTTGTAGGTGTCTAGTTTGCGTGACTGGACATTATTTCACTCGTTACCACCATAAAAACTGAAACTGATGTTGGTTTTCTTACATTTTTTTTGACTATTTGAAATATTAAACATTTGAAAATAAAATACCTCAGACAAAACGTTTAATTCCGTGATCATCAAATAATATCCAATCTAGCAGCAGCATTTTCTGCAGTCCACATTCCATGCAGACCATTGTTAATCACATGCTGTGTTAGCATTTCAGATGCAGACAGTTAAAGGACAGTGTTTAGGGGACAGTGTTGAGTCACGCCTGAGATCAGAGTTCCTCCCACAGAAGCAGCTGTTGACACACCAACATTAACTAACTAATGAGAAGCAGCAGCTGACCTGAAGAGCTTGTACATCTGGGTCTCGGTTCTCTTTGCCGGTCACCTGCTTGGGAGCAGCTGGATCCAGGGTAGATGTGCTCATTCTGCCCAGCCACTGAATGTTGGTGAGGCTGTCGTCTAAAGGGCGACAATCCAGTTCCTTGTTCACTAAAAAGAAAATAACTAAAAACATTAGGGCTTAAACAAAGAAGATAATAAGAATAATGTGAAAAAATAATCTTAGGTCCTTACATGATTTAATTCCAGAGAGCGGTTTAGCATCAGGGGATTTGTGCATAGGTTCCACTTTCACTGGTTGTCCATCTGGACTTACTGTAGAGACGCCATCCACTTCAGCAGCAGTCTGACAAAAGGATCCATTGCTGCAGCTGCTGTTTTCACTCAGAAGGATGAACTTGTTAGGTCCCTGGGCGCCACACTCTTTGCCTTTGGCAGTGAGGGCCCCGATGACACTTTGCAGGTCGGCTGTCTTGGAGATGACGACGACCTGAGTGTCAGACAAAGAGGGGTGATTCATGATGCGGACCCCGGCAGGGAAGCACCGGCTCGCATCCGGTTTCGTGGATTCTTCCGAGCCCGACGCAGCAAACTGGCTTTGTGATGCAGCTGCTGTTGTTGCATCATTTTGCTGAAAGGGCAGCTTCCTTCTTTTGAGGATCAGGGGTCTCCTTGGGCTCTGTCTCATGGTCAGCAGATCATTGAAAAGCTGCTTGTTCTTCACTGGAATTCTGTACAAAGCAAAAGCACAAATGGTTGACGCAGAAATACATATTGTCACAAAGACGGCTAAACATTAACAATAACTCTCAGTAACTTGTTTCTAAATATATGATTGACCTAACTCCTCTACAATATTACTGACATGCTCATTGAATACACACAATGCAGGTTAACATGTCCTCACAGTAATAAATAAACAATGAAGTTGATCCCTCCATTTAACACAATGCTGAATCAATATATTTCCATTCTTCTCCATTTCTAATATAATGATTTGTGTCTAATTCGATTTTATTCTACGTTTTTGCTTTTTAACATGAAGCACATCGAGTCACATATGAAATGTGCTAAATAAATAAACTTGGCATCTCATCTTCACCAACTAGTTTAACCGGTAGATTAACGTTTACCTGCTGGTGGAGTCGGTACGAAGCTACTTGCTTGCTAGCTGCTAGCCTGGTTTCAGAGCTTTGCTCCTTTTCGCTGATTGATTTAGAAACGAAGAAAAAACTAAATCCTCACTGGAAAAGAAATAAACACATAAAGGTTCAAATGAACCCAGAGATGAGACTCGGCTCCTCGTCGCTCGTGTTTCAGCTCCTCGGCTCTGGACAAGTTTCTGTTTCCGTGAATCAGTTGATCCAGAACAACAGACGTTATTAGTGACGTGTTTTGTTTAACGTTTTCTGCCAATAACCCACATTGAATAAAGACAATCAGGACAACAAAGAGATCCACAAACACCCTTCGATGTGAGGACGTGTCGGTTTGTGCAGCTGCTTCGTGTAGGCTACGAGGGGCGGTGCAATCATACATAATTACCTTTTTTTTAATGATGTATTGTTTACTTAAACCACGCCGAATCACACAACTCCGTGTAATTGTTGATAAAACGTCACAAAATGTTTGCATTGCCGTGCACAAGCGAGTAGGATGTGGCGAAAACGTTAAAATAGCAAGTTTCGGAGATTGAATTCAATACGAGATTAATCGGTGGAACGACGGCGACAAATCGTGCCGCTGAATGCATGAAACGACCTCTCGTGTCTCCGTACGCCTGAATGAATCGCTGGTTACGAGCTGCTGCAACAAGATAGCCAGGAATTACAGCTTTCTCTTAATGTGACAGGGATGCTAGGGTTAGCAACGTTAGCAAGGAGGCTGCGCTATTGTGACGAACGGAGACAAACCTTCACATTACTGCGATGATTCGGGTTCTTCCGCTCGACCTGCTGCCGCTGCCGGTGATTAGAGTCTGTGTTTTCATTCAGCGTGGAGTCAGATAATCCAGATAATCCATGATATGAGTAGAAGAAAGCACCTTCTTTTATTTACATGTCGTCTGCAGGAGCCCGGAGACGTTTTTGAATTTTGGCGCTGCCCCCGTCCCGCTGTGATCACGTGGCGCGGAACTCCACCAATGGCAGCTCGACGGGAAGAACGCGGCGCAGCCAATCGGAGACGAGGATGCCGGAAACCGGGAAATGATTTGTAACGCGAGGAAAGCGAAACAAAAAAAAAAGTTAAACAGAGTTAAACAACAACAACAACAACAACGGAGTGATCCACTTCACACACATGTGTGTTCGCGACATGTGATGACGCGTGTGTCTCATGTAAGGAACCAAACGAAGGTAAGTTTAATATTCAGGCTTTAACTACGATTGGAAACGTAAACAGCGTAAACAGCTGATTGTGCACGCACGGTGTTGTGTCGGTGTGCAAAATGTTTTAACGGGGTTTTTATCTGTGATTTCATTCACCCAGCTGGACGGGAATGATTTCTATTAATGCCCCGTAAAGCCTCAAAGACTGGGAAGCCTCCATTGCTGTTTCTGGAGCGACCACTGAACGGAGCCAGACTCCAGAATGTGCCCGATGTGCGAGCAGCTCTTCAACCCAAAGAGTTCTTCACAGAGACTCAAGCACACAGCAGCTCCACTCTTAATTCATGGGTAAGTTGTTGATATGAGCTTTCTGTGCAGTCATTTTCACCGCTTAATATGAATATTATATGATTTGAAATCTTTCAGGTAAGCCCACAATTTGACACCTCACTCGCAGCTGCACTTCCAGCAAGAAGAGGGAGGAGGAAATGTCAGTCTACCACAAGCATCCTTGACCGTAGCAGTCAGCTGTCCAGGAAAACCAGTGTGTGCAAGTTCCCCTCATTATCGTTCCAGACAAGGTCAAGAGACCATCAACCGAAGAGCACACGCGCAAAGAAAGCCACAGAGTCGGCTGTTGTGTCTGATGCAGGAAATCAGCCACATGGATCATGCCGAATCAAAAAGGCAGTTTCAAGTGCACAGCACATAGACACACCAAAGAGACAGTGTGCCTCAATAAGGACAAAGAAAGTGGAGAGAGTTTCTGATGGTGCAGCATCCACTAGCAGATGTGTTGACTCAGCTGAAGCCTCATCTGTTCGAGGGGAGAGATGCACAATTCAAGCAGACGCTGCTTCAACACCTGCCGCCGCTGAGTTTAGCAGCATCGGTCCAGCACCTGATGTGGACACTCCAAAACTAATACAAGAAGGGAGCAGTTGTCCCTATTCCCCCTCCATACACTTGCTACAGGCTCATTCACCGCCAAGTAATCAGCCACCTGACATTTTGGTGGCTAACACACCAGAGGAGGATTATGGTTTGAAGGTGACATGGAGGAAGAGGAAGGGTCTGATGCTGCTGTTAAAAGAGCGAGGTCATCTCTCTGATTCACATGTGTTCATTCACAGCTGATGTTTAGGTTTGGTGAGAAGAGAATCAGGCAATAATGTCAACGGAGAAGAAACACCTGTAATCCACTGGACAACTTCTGTGATCAGAATTCTCTATGAAGCATTTTACTGAACTGAATTGAGCTTCTGCCTCATAAAATGCTTGTCCCACAGGACGTTACTGACTGTTTTCTATTTATTTTGATTCAATTAAATGAAAAGCCAAGGAGGTAATGAAATAACCGCCTCACCCATCCTGTCTGTATAAGAGTGAAATCAAATGCCTAATAAATCAGATTATAGGTCTAATTACTGCAGTATCCACGGAGCAAGCTTTTCTTCTGAGAATATGTTTACATAGATTCCACTTATACTGATAATGTTGCAAATCGAAAGCAAGCCTTGTTTTCAAATTGCTACCTCGAGCAGAAGAACCCCTGTTAATAGTTATTTAAATACTTCCCCATTTAAATAACAATATACGTATCAAGGCTATGCCTGCATGATCTATAACTGACATCGCCTTAGCTTTGTCAATGACATGCAGTCGTAGTTTTGATAAGAGCGAGTGCTGCGGAGGGATTACGTCAAATAAACATCATGCGTTACAACAGAAGAGACGTGGAGTAAATATAAGTGTACAGAGAAAGATGAGGATTTTTGGTAAGGGGGCAGCAGGTAGCTTTTATGCGTTTGTAAAAATGAAACGTACAAGCAAAATACACTGTTGAATAAAAAAACTCGAGGCTGTCATGCTTTTAAGAAACCAGACTCCTGCAGGTCCTACAGAGCTGCATGTTGCCATGGTTGCCGGTCACAGCAGATAGAGAGGAATATAATCTTTATATTTTTCTGTGACAATAGTTTTTTTTCTTTTCATCCTCGTCATGAAAAAGACAGAGAACTCTGTACTCTCTCTCCTCCTCCTCCTCTCGAACGCATCCTCCAATCAGCCTCCACCTAAGATCGCGGCCGGCCAATGGCAGCGCGTCTTCTTGGTGTGCTCGGTAACTAAGGACCGTGGTGACATCGGTTCTCCGCAGACCGTGAACCGCCGCACGAGGATCTTCCTTAGCAACCGTGGACGAACATGAGTTACTACAGCATAAGGTAAAAACAAATCAAATACAACTTTCGTTTCGTTGTGTTCGTCAAACTGCTGCGCGAGAAGCTAACCGGCGGCTCTTCCGGTTTTTTTTGGGTTTGTTTTTGTTTTCCTTCCCCCGAGAAACTTAACTCTCGCCCGCAACTTTCTCCCGAGCCGCCGCTGAGTCCAGGCGGCTAACGCTAGCTGCTTCTAACGGTAATAAGCTAGCTGCTTACAGTCCCACAGCTGGCGGGCGAAAAACAAAAATGACAGCAGCCGTGCGAGGAGCGGGTCCCTCGGTTCGACGATTAGCGGTGGTCCCTGGACACCGAGCTCAGCGAGGCAGCTAACGCCCGTAACACTGCAGCCGTAGTCGGTGTGTGTGTGGGGGAACTACTGCACATTTGAGGCCACACGATGGAGAAGAAACATTCAGCTGTAACAACAATAAGCTAGCTCACCTAACCAGTCTGCTAAATGTACGTGTCCTCAGTCCCATGAGAGTTGAGAAAACGCAACACCATCGTAAATAATTCTGTACATGTCGGTCCATGTTGAGTCACATCCCTTTATTTAACATCTATGGTCTTGTCATTACACATAATGCGTCGAGAGCAATGTCCTTATCTATTCATTGGAATTAGTAGACGTGTAAATACATATGGTGTTTTATACTGTTTCTATCTCTAGTTTCGTATTTTAAGCTTTATTCTCTACACTTACTGTTGCACCACCATTTAACAGACTCTTTTAGTCTGATGCACAACTTTTTGTTATTTATCTTTAAATCTGTATTTATATTTGGCTTCAATACTCTGCCTGGGCTTCTTGTGTCTTTCAATCTCCTCAGCATATTGTATTGTCAGTATCTCCATAAGCACATACTTCCTCACAGTGACAGCTTTGAGCTATCTATCTTTAAATAGCCAACACCTCATCACTGTTTGATATGAATGATTTGCATCACAGGCTGAGGTATAGCAGCTTCTCCAGTTGCTCTCAGTGTAGCTTTGTGTTTGAATGCAGTGAGACGGAAAACACACATGAAAACAACGACATGGTTTGCATGTCGTGTTTGAGCACGTCTGTCTGTAGCCGCGGTCTGTGCTGTGTCAAAGCATTCCTGTACAGTTGTTGGCGTCTACATCATCCAAATGAGCCATAGACCCATAAATGAACTCAGTCAGTAGATGATTTTTTCTTGTCATGTGTTGTTTATTTGAAAGTTACACAGAATCTGTCCCCAGCTTTCCATCTCTTCCCCCAAAACAACCACGGACAGTACATTCATTTTTAAAATTTATAACTTGCCCCATGCTATATAAAGATAGTGGTGCTACTGAAGCCAGAACTAAATGTGAACAGGAGCTGGGGATGGAGCTATGCCCAGAGCTTCATACCTACGGGAATTCTTTTTTAAAAGAATGTCCCTTTTACTTAACTTCAATAGTTGCAGTCACATCTGTCATAGCCAGTGGTATGAAGCTCTTACTGCCAAGACTCCTGTTGTATCCCAATGCCTCAAAGATATTTTTAAAATTGAAAAACTGAAATATTCACTGAGCGGCTCAAGGGGAGAATTGTTTTTGCTTCACGGTTTGGAGCACTTGCCTTGTGTACCTATGTACTTATTCGTTTTTGTTTGGTCTTCCCCTCTCTTTACCTGTTGAGTTTGTATGTAAGGTGCATGATCACTCCCAGCTACTGTCAGCTAGAATGTGAGTTAGGTGAGGATGTGCGTCTTGTAATGTTTGGGTGTTAGTAATCTGATTGGGTTGTTACACATCTTTTTGCATGTTTTGTACAAATATGGGGAACGCAAACGTCACCTTTGAGATATATTGTACACTACCCCAACCCTGATTGAATGTAACATTTAGCAGAGGCTAGTATAGTCACACTCAACACAGATTGGCCTCAGCATTGGGCGTCAGTGCTTCCTGCAGCTTTCCTCTGACATATACTCGACAGGTCACACAAACAGGTGTTGGACAAAAAGGGTCCTATATGCTTCTGTGTGTGCACGATGGAAGCTGCACAATTTCAAACACTGGAGCAGAGGTCTGCTTTCATTTTGCAAGGAGATAGAAATCAAAGTAGCTCCCACCTTTTCCTGTTACAGTTGCAGTCTGATTATTTGATTTTATCACACACGTAGAAGTATTCAAAGTTCAAAGTATTGTTTATAACATTATACCGATGATGAAAAGCTATTTTCTTTACAAATGATTTCACAAATCAGTATGTTTCTTGCTTTATCCAGGATTATTCTTGTTAAATTGTCTTTGTAATGAATAAATGCTTATTGGTGCCGTTCTTCTTCAGTTACTTCTTGCGATAGAAAACAAATTTGTAGAGCTACCACCATATTTATGTTTTCCCCAGATGTCTTGCAAGCATTGCGATCTTACCCAAGGAAAAGTTTTGGCCTTGTTACTGTGTCGGTTTAGTAATGTGAGACACAGCCATGGTCTCATTCCTGATCAGCTCACCAGCTGTGATGTACACAGTTTGTGTTAGTTCACAGATGTCTGTCGCAGCTTTTGTAATGATCAGCCTTGAAAGGCAGTTAAATTAGGTATTCTATTATTTACTTCTCATTAATCTCTCACAATTGCGTTAATCTTAGTTTTATTATTCTTGTTAATTTTATTATCATTACTCATTCGTAAAAGTGCGTCAGTGCAAATAACAAGATCTCTTGAAATATTTTCTCCCTTTCAAGTGAACTGGTGACTGTAAGGTCAGAGGGAAGTGTTCTCTGGTTGTCAACAACTGTCAAGAGCTGACACACTGAGTAGAGACAGTTTTCATAACAGCATCACAAGTGTAAAGTTGCAAAGCCCCCTAACATGAGTGTATTTTTAGTGGGAGGCTGATAAAAATGTCTCCTTCTTTCTGTTGCACTGTAATAACACTGCAGGCTTGCTGTGTAGTCTGTCACACATATCAGCTGAAACGTAATGATAACCAACAGATAACAGGTCCATTGCTGTCTGTTACTAACCATAGTGAACACGATTGCATGTACACGAGTGTTGGATGCTTCATAGAAATTAAGTTTAAACGATAGACTGTATAAACACGGAAGATGCGCCTCCACTTCCTCCCACTATCCAGAAATTAAGTCAAAACCTGCTCCTGAATGCACCAATGTTGTCATTGATGCCAGAGCTGCAGGTTACACACACTCGGCCAATCACCGTCTTTGTATACATGCATTGTCTGCTATCAGCGTCATATTCACAAAAGCATCCATCCATTCAGAGTATATTGTTGAACAAGCTAAGAAAGGCTATGAATAAACCTTCCCATCGCAGGAGTCAGCAAAAGCTCTGTTGCACAATATTTACCCGGGGTTTTGCAGAAATTGTGAGCACAGTTGGAATATGTAGTTGACCAACCAGGGTTTGGCCAAACTGCATGTGGTGTAGGCCTCCCAAAAAGGAATTGGTATGACATTTAAAATCAGCAAGTCATCTTGTATGAACAATGTTTCACCATCCTTATAAATCAGTCAATTAAAAAAATTCTCCTCAAGGTTAGCGGTTGACCTCTGCAGCCTCAAGCATAGTTTGTGGTTGAGTTGTGATTTGCTGTGGTTGTCCCGTGGATTCCAAACACACATGGCCCAGCTGGCCCGAGTAGCACACTCAGTTTCTCATGTGCTGAGAGACTGAAAAATGAAACACTTAAATATTTCAGCCTGTTCAGTTTTTGCTGTATGTTCAGGATGAGGTAGAGTTTTCAGCATCATGTTAAATATCTGCTCTCACCAGAAGAAGACTCCATCTGCCAAACATTTAACAAACAGCAGCTTTCATTTCTTATCTGCCTTAACAAGATAGAGCATCATTGTAGGAGCGGCATGTGTCTCCCTTCTGGTCCCCAAGAGAAAGAGTATTATTATCAGCTCTTGTAGCATATTTCCATCATTTGTTTTGAGCTCAATAATTACTCCCTCTGGTGAATGAGTCCCCTGCTCATCATCCATTGACATATATGTCATTATCCCACCGTCTCTCAGGACAAACAAACACAAACACGCTCGTAATTTTCTCTGGGCTTTCTTTCCACCGCTCTTGCAAATAGGCTCAGAAAAAAAAAACGATTGGGAGGCTCAGGTCTCCTAGCAACTAGATGAAGTCCCCCACACTGTCTGTTTTTAGACAGGGTAATCTATAGGCATATTATGGGGAATGAAGACTGGAATATTTGACTCACATGCTGACAGACAATACGGAGCGATCTAGTGATGTTAAGAGGAGATTTGGGTTATTTAAAGATTATAAATTTCCACAATTGCATGTATAACTTCTAGGTTCGAGACAGAACAATAAGGAGTGTCTTCCTTTATGAGGAAATGAGCTGCGATGGATTGCTGAGTGTTTCTGAAAGTCATGCAAAGTTGTAAAATACAGGAACTTCAGTGATAGCTGTTAATGTAACAGATATTTTTAGAAATATTTCCAGTCACAGGGAAGATGTCGCTTAATGTCAAACAGTAAGCTACTTTCGACATTTGCCTGAAATGTTCCATAGGGGAACGCAAAGGTCAGAGTTAGTTGCTGTGGACATCTTCCAGAACTTTTCCTGCCTGCCCCCCCGCTGCTGCCTCTCGATTCATGTTGTCTTGTCGTTTCATATAACTTTGGTGAAGTTGGTAGAACATTCACACTTCTCTTTATAATGTTGATAAGGCGATACGTCAGCATTTAGGCCTGT